TGAGAGGAAAGTACTGAGCACATTCATTTCAGTTTAGTTTTCTAGGTCTTCTGAAGAGCACATTGCCATTTCAGAAAGGTTAGAAATAAAATAACCTAACCAGTTTGCAGTGGCATCAGCAGAAGTTACATTAGCTTTGTGCACTGTAAAAGGTGAAATGATAAATCTGAGAAAATAGATATGAAATTATATGCTAATGCAGCTGACATTAAAGGTTAGGAGTTCGGCTGTCTAGCACCAGTAAATCCAATTGTGTTACAGTGTATTATACATGGTGCAAAAGAATATAAATGATGCATTGAGTTCAGAGTTGCACCAAAGGGGAAAAAGCCATTCTAAAATTGTAGCTCCATTGCTATTACTCAAAAAAGGAATCATCATCTGGTAAAGGAATACTGTTTGATAGAGTAAGTGTTAGTAATGAGAGAGACTGAATGTGAAGCACTGACTACCATACCTTTTACTTTAGTGTTCTGTCTTTTATATATGCACCAAATTAACAAAGCAATCTGCAGTTTAGCATTCTGGTGACATTTCTAGAAGATTATTAAAAGCAAAAATATGGGAGGAGCTACGTACATTTTTTGTAAAAAAGAATATTATTTCTCAACAAAATTTGTTACATGCTATCTCAACAATATTATGTAAAAAATTAATTTTAGGTTTCAGCAATATTTTTAATAGATTTTCTTTTTTTTTTATTCCTAGAAAAACTGGGCTTCAGAAACAAATCAGATAATATCAGTTCATTTTGTTGAAACAGATTAAGAACTCCTGAATTAGTTTATATATGTTTAGTATATGCAAAGCAGTCGGAGAGGCAGTGCACATTTTGTCTTGATAAACCTCTAAAAAGAAGATGAAATATTTTTAGATAACAGGCCATTTCATGGCAGGACTTGATTTTAAATGTAAACAAAAATTATATTTGCCTTGTAAAAACAGCAAAATTATCTTTTAAAAAAATGAGTGTTTCTATATGGATACGTATGCGCTTTTATAGAAGAGTTGACAATGAGCAATGACTGATAGATATTCTATCATTTCTATTTAATATTTTCACTATCAAACATTTATACTTAAGAGATATAAACTAGTATATAGTTAACATGAGCATATCTATATGTGCATATGATAGAATCACAGAAGTGGGCCCAGAGTTGACCCTTAGAGACCATATGGCCCAACCTTTGTTCAAAGGTTAGATCAGGTTGCTAAAGGTGTCCAATTACATTTTGTAAAATATCCAAGGACAGATTCCATAGTCTGTCTGGGGTAGATGTTTCAGTATTTGAAAGCCCTTATTGTGGAGAATTTTCATTATGTGTAGGTATTTCATGATACATAATCAGAATTTGCCTTGGTCTAACTTGTGTTCATTGCCCCTCAATTTTTGCTGTACATGTCCGAGAAGACTCTAACTTCTTCTTCTCTATGACCATGCCTTAGGTACTTGGAGACAGCACCTTGATCTGGTTTTAGTCTTCTCTTCCTCAGGTTGAACAAACCCAACTGTTTTATGCTCTCCTTGTACATTGTATGCTCCAGCCACTGACCATCTCTGTGGCTTCCAGCTGAACCCACTCAGGTTTGTCGACATCTTTTTGTACTGGAAAGCCCAAAACTGGGGCTGGTACTCTGTCACAGAAGTGCTGAATAGAGAAGTCACTTCCCATGACTTGCTGGCTATGCTATTATTAATGGAGGGCAGGTGTTATTTAGCTTTTAACCCTGTAAAGGCACACTGTTGACTGTTGTTCAACCTGTTCTCATGACCCTCAGTTCCTCCTCTATAAAGCTACTTCCTATGCAGTCATCCTCCAACCTGTTTCATTCTAGTGATTTCCAGAGAGATTGCCCCTGTAATGGATCGTTGAGGCTTTTAACGTTTTTTCAAGGGGGTATTTAGGAGAGAGAGAAGAGTAGCAAGAAAATGAAGAATAGACTACAGTAGACATACTTAAAAATTCGATAAAAACCCTGGATGCTGAATATGGTAACATATTCTATTCTGAATGCTAGCATATGGTAACATATCCAGTACCTGATCTCCACTGCTCTTTACATCTAGGTGGGTTTACATTCAGTTAGCATATATCACAGTCACATCTTCATTCTGCTATGAAGAAATATCTAAGAAGATGCAGCTGATAAAGTGGACAAGCTAAGTATTTCTGTTGATGAGGATGTCAACAGTTTATAGACTAGTATCACCATCCTTTTTACAGAGGTAATTAAGAGTTGAGTTCTTCCAAACAATAGATGTCTAGAGAAAGGCTTCTAAACATCTGTTTAGGAAATTAACTGCTTTTGTATTTCTAAAGCATTAAGCATCCACAACCTCTCACTGAAATTAACGTTATTGATGTTTTCAGGAGCTGTCTGTCCCCCACCTGAAGTCAGTAAGCAAAGGGATGTGTACATTACTTATAAGCAGAAGGCTATCTTTATAGGTGCTTATTATTAAATTTGGAAACCTAATTCTGGGAACAAAATCTCACGTGTTTGCTTTAAATATTAGTGAAGATATTTTTTGTTTGATTATAATAACTTTGCTTTAGCCCTGGTCAATATTTCTCTCGCCTACTGATCCCTAAATATTAATAGTCATCGTGGCAGAAATTGAAATCTCTTAAAGCTTAGCAACCAACAGGCAGAAAAATGCTTGTATGGTATGCAAGAAATAATTATTTCTTAGGGAAAAATGGAAATCATGTAATTACATGGTGTCTTCATCTATCTGGAGACAGCGAAAAAGGCCACCTTTCTGATTTCAGAAGTATTTTTAATCTAAAAAGATGTAGCTTAAGCCATTTAAGATTTGCTTTCTAAAATTGATATTTCATGGAAATTTTATTTAGGTCATCTTCTTCTCTAATGGGATTTAGTATAATTTGTAAAACTGACACCTCTTACTTTTTTCTTTCTTTAGGACACAGAGGACATATGCAATCTCAGTCTAATTTAATATATAAGTTTATGTATTTACATATGTCTTTTAAAGCTTTCCTTGTAACAAATATAACAAGCTACTCTTTTGCTGAAATAACTTAAAATCAATATGCATTATAAGTAGTTGGGAACCAAGAAAGACAATTCTAAAGTATGTGTAAGAAGATTTCATGTTGCGGTTAATACATTAAAAAGTCTTAAAATAAATGCTTGATCATTTGGATCTTCAGTTCTGATCTAACATGTATGTTCTACAACAAAACTTTCTGAATTTGAACCTTAACCTTGAGCTGAGTTGAATAATTCTTAAGCATAGCTGTAGACTCCCTGCACTCTAGTATCTGGGCTGAAAACTGTTAGAGATTTTTAACTGAATCTGCATAAAAGCAGTAGGCCAATTTAGCACGATACAAAGCAGTGAGAGGAAGGTCTCTTTTTATTTCCAGTCTTCTTGGGACTTGTCTGTAGATTACAGTAACTACTATGACATGCTCTATTTACAGGTGTTCATCACCATTGATATGTATACTTTGGTTTAATTCTAAAATTAGTGTAATTCTAGCCAAACAACAGAATAAGCAATGAATAAAGTAAGCCCAGGATTAATGAGACTACATGCATACAACCTTTAGTTCACATGGCTTCAGTAATATCCATGTATTGCATTACTATGAAAGATTATAAGCACGGTCTTAGGAAATTTAGTATGTAGTGACACTGTGACTACTTAAGGGAAGTGAGGCTGGGAGGAGACCACTTTTTTCTAATGAACTACAGAGAAAGTTTAGATCAAATTTTGACCTAAACATGTAAGAGATAGCGATGAAAGGAATTTCTGTTTGAGTGCAGTATCACGTAACCAATTTTGGCATTTTCTTTATGTATATATGTAATATATATCTCCTGTTTTGACAATCGGAGCAAATTGAGGAATAACTACAGTGTAATTACTTTTGTTTTAAAGAGATCAATACGGTATCAAAGACGTGTTTTTTCAACAAGTGTGATAGATAATTTAGCTGTCTAATGCTCAATGACTTTTCCTTAAAATATTGGAGAGAAAATTGTTTGTTTATTTTTTCTTTCAGATGTTAAATATTTAAAAGAAGAAGATGCAAATCGTAAAACATTCACAGTCAGCAGCACACTGGATTTCCTAGCAGATCGCAATGATGATGGCGCAGTTGTAAGTTGCAGAGTAGATCATGAGTCCCTAAACTCTACACCTCAGATAGCAATGCAGGTTCTAGAAATACACTGTAAGTAATACATGTTATATATGCTTCCTTTATAGTTTTGTTTTGTTTCAGAGTTTCTATTGTGGGAAAATTATAAAAATCTCTGGTATTGTGCGGATAGGTAACATCTTTCTTTTAGCCAACTTGTCTGGTTTGTATTTGGTTGGGTGGATGGGTTTTGGGTGGGGTTTTGTTTTTTGTTTTTTACAGGAGTAACTCTACAAAGTTTAATGACAGCTTTACTAGTGAAAACACTATGGGACTGAGTTCCTGGTTTGCTTTGAGAAATGGTAGAGAGGAAATGCATTTGTCTTTTGTTTATCATTGTAGCAGCATGAAAGAGTTCTTGAAAATCAAGATCATAGTAGTTCGCAATTTTCCTTGAAAGTGTCTAGAAACTTGAAACAAGGGTATGAAGAAGCAAAGTTTGCAGCAGACTGCCTCAATAACTTTGAATCATGCTAATGAAACTCTGTGTCATGCTGTTGATAACACAAGTCCAAGAAGAAAAACCCTGTAGAATTTATTTTTAGGCCTTGTCTATACAGGATCTTACGCTAGATACTCCAAACTTCAGTTGTTTTGTATCTCAATATATTGACTTATTTTTTCAAATAGGATTTCTAGAAACTTGATCTTTTCCGCAGTGCATTGTTTCAAAGTTGAATGAACATGCCTACGTATCTGTGTGCCCTACTCTGAAGTCCTGTTGTCCTTTGAGTTAGGTTGGGTTTTTTCAGTTACAAACTGTGAGACACTCAGGAGAACACCTTTTCACCATAAGATGACATTTTCATATTCACTTGCATTATACCTACCATTCTTCAGGGTACAGCTATTTGGAATTCTGCAGAACACCTGTACTTTTGATTGCCAGCTAGCAAAACCAGGCACCTGCAAAATATTGTCAGACCAAGTGAAGGGAAGAGACCTATCATGGATCTGTTTCTAGGGTAGGCGTAATCAAATCACCTACCCTAGGTCCTGTGATAAAGCAGACAGGCTTGTCCGTAACGCACACAAGCTTCCAGTAACTCCAACTAGTTGTGGAGATACCATGTCAAGGACTGCTGGCATATATAACTTGTTTCTAAACAGGCATATTTCTAAAAGCATCTAATACTTGTAGCACATGTAAGATGCAGTAATGGCAAAAGCACTCCATGCATAGAAGCTGACAGCATTGCTAAAAATGCCACCTGAAAAAAGTCTGAAAATTAGGAGGATGTGAATTAGCATCCACAAGTAATATGTACTGAAAATAACTGTTTTCTTAAACATTCTACCCATCATTTTACTGAGGTAGATCAAAGCCTTTCTTCACCAAATGTCTGTTAAACACCTGCCTCCCTTAACATGTTCAAATAGCATCTGTACTAAGAGACATGAATCCTTACCAGATTTATTTCCTTGAATTCTAAATCCAACAACCATCAGCCACTGAGCTGGCCCATGACTTCACTTCCAGATTGCTTGCCCTTCCTCCAGAGCCCTGCTGAAGATGTTGGCACTACAGGAGATGAACCAAATTCAATGGAACAGTAGTACATACAGAAACAGGACAGCTATACAAGGTTTAAACTGAGTCACAGTGGCTGCAATGTAATCTGATTCAGGGTAAAGGCAGGTTTCTGGTCTGCATGAGCATCGTAAGATCATAAAGCAAAGATGCCTCTCTGTGGCCTCTCACATATAAAACCTCTGGAATATTTGTTTTCTTCCCATTTGCAGCCTTGGTAGCCAGACACTATCTTGCTAAATAGCAGTAGGGTGCATCTTCCTCTATGCCTGGTGCTTCATGTTTTGAAAAAGACCCTTCTCTCTCTTCTGTGGGTTCACTGAAGTTCTCTAAGAAGGAAAAACCCCACAGGGCATTCACAATTACTAATGTGCTTCCCCCCCCCCCCCCCCCACCGACTGCCAACTTATCAAAAGCCACACGCACAAGTGATTATGCTCTATCGTTCCTGCTTGCTCCATTAATTGTCCACCAATCAATTTAATACTCACCAGCATGAGTATGGAGTCATTATACATGGAAAGATAAGTGAGAAATGTGCCAAAGGAAGCTCAAGTTTAGAAGAGAGGGTGGAAATACCATTTAAAACCATGGAGAAAGCAGTATTTTGTTACTGGTGACAAGGAGACTGAGAAAAGGCTATTGTCCTTTTCCTTACCACCTACAGCTCCATGGTCAACATACTCAGAAGTCTTACACTGGGCAAGTTTCTAAAGGAAGCTTTAAAAAAGAGATGGAGATTCAGGGTTTTTTTAGAGAGCCTTGAAGGAAAAGAAGAAGGATGATTTACCAAAGCAATCCTAAAGACTCCGAATGGAGTACAAAGCACTGTAACTGGGCCCCTTGATTTTATTCTCCTCGTATTGCTCACCATTGTCATGGGTATTACTGCAGTCACTGGAAGCTCCTGGCTTTTTTCCATCAGTCCATAAGATTTCAAACATGTAAGAGACATCCTATTTGTATTAATGAGAGGCATGCTCACAGGACCCAATGTGAGCTGACCCAATATATCCTCAATGCCACCTGACAGCAGTGCAAAAATAGTGCTGACAAAACAGATGAATTATGGGACCCCACGAGAAAAGTCAGGAGAATTTTTTAATCTGATGTCCTGTAGGCTCCGAAATCACAACCAAGTAGTGTGGCATTGCTCCACTTGTTCTGAACGTCCATGGGGTATTTCAGATGGGCAGAGAGCTATGGGAGAATGATAAGCAAGTACATTAAAACGGTCAAACAGAACAGCACAAATGAGCATTAGTTTGGGAGAGAACAGATGCACAATTACTGGGCATCACCCACTAGAACTGCACTTGGTTTTTAAACATCTTCCTAAAATCCAAAGAATTTTTTCTGTGGTACATGGATGTTCCTTACAAATTAGCAGTGTATCATCACAGGTTAGAAAAAAAGGGCAATAATAAATTGTCTAGCCATTTCTGTCCTGTATAATTATGCCTGAAAGTAAAAAAAATAGTCTGCTTTGTTTCAAGAAACTAGGCCCTGACAATGGACAAAACATTTATGGCTTCATCAAAACAAACATTAAAAAAAAAAAAACAAAAACAAAAAAAAAAAGTGAAGAAAACAACAGAAGAGTAGGAGTTACAGGATTGTGTTTGCATCCAGTGGATGATAGGTAGAGAAAAAGGAAAGTAACGCAATGGTTGGAATGACAGGTTTTTATTTATGCCTAGTGAAAGACAGAATAAAATTAAATGTGTCCTAGACGATGAGACTATATGAAACAATATTTGTAATGACTCCATGGAGAGATGTAGATAGAGGTGCTTATGAGTCCGCACAGCTGCTTTTATCATCAGCTTTAACAGGAAGTAAACTTAACAAAACAAAAGCCAGTAATGCCATCAGCAGCAATATCAATGTGGAATATACTTTATTCCCTCTTCTTCCCCTTACACAAATCTTAGCTTTTATTAGTGTGATAGAACAATCAAATCAGCTTTCCCCAGTAGTATTACAGTACATGAAATGAAGCTGAGGACTAAACTTCTAAGATAAAAAGTTTGTATTTTCTTTTAATACGTATATATGTGTATGTAATAGAAATAACGTCTGAGTCCTGCTGCTGCTCTTTTTTTTTTTTTTTCAGTAGTTAGGTCCAGAAGTAGAGATTACCTATATTATTTATAGTTTGACCAAAATAAGGATATCTTGAAGGAGACCACAGTCAGTCTTTGTTTTCTCAGGGCTTTCCAGATTGATTTTGCAGACTTCAAATATTAAAATAATACCGATGCTGTTGGGGTAAGCATACTGTACCCCACTCCAGACTGTGCGATAATTAGCTCCTCCAGTCTTTTGAGCTTTATTTATCATTAATTTATGTTGTGTCTCACTTGTGCCTAATCCTGTTCATCTGTATGTCACGCTCTGTGCACTGCAGGGCAGCCCAATTGCCCAAGTCTTTCTGTCGTGTTGAAAGGTTTGGCCGTAACTTAGTTTCTGCTTGGCCATCAGAGGTTTGTGGTAGCATGACACTGCTTGCTGAGTCTATTTTTCCTCTGACCCTTACTGTCAACAGTAAACCTAAAATAGACTTGTATCCCCCGTGGCTTTACTCTGAAGTTTGCTTGTCAGCCTAGCTGCCACTGATTATTAGGAAGTGCTTCTTGTAAGTGATAAATACAAATCTCAAAGGGCTATTTTGTTTCATTGTTTACTTCTGTGTTCAAACTAAACTAAGAATGCATTCTTTGTTCCTGTATTAAAGAATCACAGGTTCAGTACTTCAATTTTGAAAGCTTCTCAGTACAACTTTTACGAGATTATACACTATAAGTCCTCATGCACACTCCTGAAAAGACATTTTGATGGCAAGTACAACTTCTTGTCCATGTCTGGGAAGTGAGTGAATTCTGTTCATCCCTCCTCAATGTCTCAGAAGTGTTTTTTTCCCAGAAGCAGCATCTTCTGCTTTCCTCCAGGTCTTATTTGAGCAGAAGCCAGCCAACACATCATTGCTTCATACTGAACAGAGTGCCATAAAATTACCCAGTGGTAATTACCTTACCTTAGTGAAGGTTCTCTGACTACAGTAAATTACCCAGCAGAATTAATTGTGTACATCTGCCCCAGAGGCAGCTTTTGAAGCTTTAAAGTGAAATCAAATCATTTGAACTTCAAACCTAATCACTGTGATTCTAAAATGGCAGCTGTGATATGATCCGTGCTAACGGACTCAGTGAGATTTTGCTCAAAAGCTGACCACACTCCCAAATGACAGCACTAATAAGCTAAATATGTGTTATGTAAAGAAGTGTCTAGAGAGGCAATTTGGAGTAAATTCTATATTGGCAGACACAGATGTGCAGTGAATTGTCAGTCTGACAAGTCTATAGCCATCAGCTAACTTGCTTCTACAGGCTATTCCAACACTGTTTGTGTAATAGGCTGTTTCTTCATTTGTGGATTGTTATTAGATTCTTTTGCAATGAACGTCTGAACTTGACTTTAAAATTAGGCCGCTATTCCAAGA